TTTTTTTTTTATCAAACTGTGAATTTAAATCCTAATAGAAGAAAAGAATGTCTAATAAGGATCCTAAAGTAGGGTAAAGCATATCGATCAAACAACTCCTGAACCAACCAGAAAATTTCATAATAAAACTAGTCCTAAATCTGAGCTGTATTGCGAAACTTATAAATCTGATAAACCAGAAACAAACCTCAGCTGCTGCTCCCTCATCATCTTTGTAACCAAGTTTCTCTAATATCTCGTGTATGGCAGTCAAATCCATTCTTAAACATGCTTCACCAAGTGCAGATAGAGGCATAACCTCTCCAACATGAGTGATACCCATCAACACATGAGAAAGAATCTGCAAAATGCACTACTAAAATGTCATCCCAGCAAAAAAATTTAGCACAAGGATCAAATATGACAGATACAACTTCATATCCTGTGCTAGATTAAACTACTTCAATCACCAAAATGCCATAATTTTACTTTATCTATTCTGGTTTTGCATAAACAATTATACAACACCCATACAAACAAGAATGTGTGCAAAAAAAAAGGTGAATAGTAAAATTGGTGGTATCCTGTTATTCAATTTATTACTCCTGATTATTGCTCTCGACATTGAAGATAATTTTCCTGTTGAAACTGTAAAAATAGCTGCATGATATCTTCTTTAATGAAGTCGAGATTAACATTCACAATTTGAACTCTTTCTTAAGAAACTGACACGTTAAACTCGATAATTCCATTTTAAATATAAGGAGTACAACGCTCGCTATAAGCCATTACAGCACTTCCTACATACAAATTCATATATCTACATCTCAATGGAACGACTAAGACAAATGCGAACTCAATTGCATGGAAAATTTTCTAGAAAGAGACGTGACAATCAGAAAATATTTACCGTACTCTTTGAAAGAAAATATGACGAAATCTATAGAAATACTTGTCACCCAAGAATCAGTAACAAGATTCTAGTTTTTCAACAGTCAAAAGTAAATAGTCATCAACCATATGCCAAAGCTCCAGATTGATCTCAAAAAATTTATCATCTATAAATAAGAGCTCGGGTAAGGTAATACCTATAAATGTGATGAACTGTTGAAAAATAAAAACTTACGCAAATATTAACTAGAAAATGCATATTATTAACAGTGAAGCAATAATTAAGGAATTATCATAAAGCAAGTGATAGTTCCATAGTATAACGACCTATTTTCTACATGAGATTCTACAATATCTGCAGATAATTAAGGGATACTACAATAAACTAGAAAGACTTCAGCTCAAAAGGCTACATGCTATTCCATATAGAAAACAACCAACCTCAGTTTCCTTCTGAAGAGGAATCAATGCAGCAACTAATGATTTCGGATTTGGCCTCTCGCGGGGTTCATACTGTAAACATCTTGATGCTAAACGTACTAACTCAGTTCCATCATCATTAGAAAATTGACCTTCTAAGCAAGAATCGGTCAGCATCTGAAGATTCCTGTCCTTCATCAAATCAAGGGCCTGACACGAAATGAATAGACTCAGAATTAATAACAAGATAATGTCCAAGGCGAGAAGTTTACCCTAAAGGAGTTAAAAGTAACTAGTAAATCAGATTTGTCAACAAAATCAGTTAGAAGAGGATCTATTGGATCCATCCAACAGATTGAAGGGGAGGAAATCCTGCGATGAAGCGCATATTAACATGCCTAACTAGGCTAACTTCAACTCCTGCAATCTTCTCGTACAATATTGTTTATAAATCCATTAATTTTGAAAGTTAATTTACTTAATCAAGTCTCCACACATCTTCAACGGAAAAGGAAAAGAAAAGGAACATGGAAGCTAGATGTCGGCAAATCTGTCAAGCATGGCACATATGCCAAATTATCTCTTCAAGGTTCTAACAGAATTTCATTAAGTTTATGATACTTCAAATATCTAGAATCATTGATGATCAAAGTCAGGCAAAACGATCATTGCGAAATGATAAACACAATACATTGGGTGGGTTGGGGGTATACAAACATACACAGAAGATTAGTTATGATGTTGTGCGACTCCACTGTATGTGGAAATGTACGAGTTCATTGAATGTGAAAAGGAAACACGTGTTGTTTTTGCTCATGGGTAGGTAACATACCATTACTAGTGGTACAAATCATTACTCAAAACAAATTACATGACATCAGAGAACTATAATAAATGTGAGGGCGGTAGAGTTCATACAAAAAAGATAAGGTGTTGCTCCTCAAAAATGTTAATAATTAAGTTGTCAGGAAAATACGTTTTGGCTCATTGACTATAACATTTTTCTAGGAAGTAGTTTCTAGATTAATTTTCATGAGACAGTCACTAAGCAATATAATAGCTGAGTCAATTTCACAGTATCGAGATAGACTAAGCATAAGAAGACTTACACGGCTAGGAGGAATGTGTTTTCCACTGAGAAGGTCAAGCAATAATGTGCCGAAGCTATACGTTACACTGTCAGGGGTAACTCTTCCTACAAAAGTTAGAAGCTCTAAATAAATACTGCAGTAATTATCTCACAAACACGAGGGAAATAGTAAGTTCCAAACAAATACAGAAGTTAGAAAATTCAAAATACCCACTATGTTAGGACACAATAGACACCAATTCATGGTATGATAGATAAACAATAATGGATATTCAAATCAAAAGAATCAAGACAGTCTGTCAGTCTGAACAACCACACGAGCCCCATCTAAATAACAACCCCCCCCCCCCCCCCCCCCCCCCCCCCCCCCCCCCCCCCCCCNCCCCCCCCCCCAACACAGACACACCGAGTGCGTAAAAGATCTAATCGGTGAGTGATGATGACATTTGTCTTGCAATTGATAAGTATAAACAAAAACAGACAAATTTGGGGCATTCGTTGATTTTATTTACTTTCCCCCTTTCTCCTTTGAAAAATTATAATTCGGCTCTCTAGTAAGGGATTACAATGATTTTGTCGCGGATATGAAGCTTCAGTGATTTAGACTTCTTTCACAAGAGATATATCATGTCCTTAGAGCAAGTCAGAAAAGAGAGGGGAGGACCAAAACTAAATGGAGAGGCGAAAACAAGAGAAAATAAAGCCTAATCACAACAAGTTATGTCTTACCCGTGCATGCATTTATTTGTTGCCTGAGAGATTTGGGATTATCCAAGTTCACCGAGTACTCGCCAATTCGCTGTACTATATTATTAAAATATGTTCATGTCTTTATTGTCTAGGGGTTTGAGGATAAAAGAAATCAAATCTGGAAAATGGCACAGGGATCCAAGCATTGAGCCATATGCATAAGATTGGAAATCAAGGTCCCCACTAAATCTTGAAGAAAAATGGGATAACTACCATGTGATATGGTAAAAGGGGATTTGATGTATTGAGTGAAGCAAGTGATATTCTATCAATTTTTTACATGGGCTCGCCAAGAAAACAAAAATACAACTAGGATGGTAATAGAAAGAAGATTAAAAAAGTGCATGTGACATGTCCATCATCGTCATAATAGATAATTACATCCAGGATGTTGCTTTCGATATTAGAAGAGCGCTGTGCAGTTGATTTAATTCATTACAAGATTCCATTAATTAGGTGTAGCATGCTAAATGGATCAAGAACAAAAGAAAACACAATAATGGAATTGGTGAATTATAAAAAAACCGATTTCTTTCTATAAATAACTCGATTATCATATTAATACTCTCACCATAATAATTCTAAAATTCCGAAACTATCATATTAATAGTAATCCTTTGAGGCTGCATCACATTGCAAATAGGTAAATCAAGAGTTCCAGATGTATTAGATCTGGTTTTAATATCACAAACAGCAAAGAAAGTGTAGTAGATGAACACGAAGCACGATAAATTAGTCACTTAAATCATAGAGCATTGGATATATGATATATCAGTAGGAAAAATACCAATAGCAAGGGATTTTTGCTAGAACTCCTTGAACACTCTATACCAACAAAAGTCAGTCAACTTAACACACATCCCTTACAAGAAAAACATTATCTCTGTGTCTGAACTATATGTTATACTTACACCTTAGAAGCAGTCAATAGCAGGAAAATTTCCACAATAAAACACTGTTTGATTTTGAAACATAAAATACCAGTAAATGATCAAACTACTATGTGCTCACACTAAATCTATTACAAAAAAAAATTGGTCAAAAAATAAATTATAATCCATGCACAACCAATTTCGACTATATGTTTCTCTTTTTCTAGATATATGAATGGTACCAGTCCTTAGGTATTCTGGAGGAGTAAATGCCAAGTTGGTGCTATAGCTTTTTCCATCCCTACTGTTCTTCATTAAACCAAAGCATGACAGTCTGGGATTACCATCCTGTGACATAAGAAGAACCCGATGATTAAGTATATTAAATATACATTTACTAACAAGAAGGAAAACGAGAAATAGAGTCGTGGTAACTCCGTGCTTACATCATCAAAGACTATTCTGTACGCATTAAGATCATGATAAAGAGCACGTCCTTTGCTGGTACAGTATTCTAGAGCTTGTGCAAGGTATAAAGCGACCCTTATCCGCATTGCCCACTTCATAGGTTGTGTTTCCCCTGAATCAACATGTAAATGGAACGCAATAAAGCACAAAGATAAATGAACCAAATAAAATCAGGTATAAAGTGGAAAATACTGAAGCAAACTGAATTACAAATACTGGTTTCCACAAAATTAAAGATGGTCCACAAGTTGTAAATTCGAGTAAAACTATAGAAAACAAATCCATATATGACACCTGAAGATTCACTCGCTCCCTCCATCCCTCGAGGTGAGACTTTAGCTACCAGAAGGGTTTGGGACAGAAGGAAGAGGGAATTGATGTGGCCAGAAGAAGAAGAAAGATTGGAGGTTCGACGAGCTTTGGCAGCTCCTAAGGTGGAAGAGAAGGAAAAATCATGGCAACAAAGTAAAGGAAGGTATGCAGTGAATAACTAACATCGGCAATGTAGTAAATATAATAGCTAAAGAAATAGTAGCTAAGTTGAAGCTTCGTATAGAAAAGCATCATCATCCTCACTAGATCTCGTAGATTCGGAAGGGTGATCATATTCTGGTCACTTAAAAGGTGTTTGGTTCAATTTGATAAGCAATCACGATAACTGTATGCCATATAAATACAAACAAATACAATGATAATTCCAGATAAGGATGAAAATACAAAGATTGTGTAGTGTACTTACAGTGAAATAAATGTTTTGCAAGGGTCTCATTGGGCATGAATTCTGCAACAAGCAATCTCTCTTCACCTTCACAGCAGCAGCCAAGTAAATTTGTCAATCTATGGTTGCGGAGTTGACCAACAGATCTTGCTTCTTCCTGAAGTTTCAGAATGTGTTCAAATATATTCAAAGCAAATAAGAATTAGAATAGCATCAAATGACCTAAGAAGCTCTATGTAATAGTTCATACATTCTTAAGCAGTCCAATCCCTCCCCTCACACCCTTGAAGCTATACAAAAGTATAGAAAACCATATAAATTATATAATAATAAAGAAGACAATCTTTCGTGAAATAAGGACTCCAAATTTTGAGGTGAACCAAAACTAGATAAAAAGGTTAATTTTATCATATTGATCGGGCAACAGGTGATAAAAGACTACCAAGTTTCTGGCCTGCATTAAGATAACACGTGTCGAGTGCTCGTATACGGAACTACTTACCAAGAACTGCCGGGCATCTGGCCAAGCCGACCTATTGAAGCGTTTAACAGCAATTCGCCTCTGATTCTCTAATTTCCCCTTATAAACGACATTTGGGGCTTTCTCCCCATGCTCTGAAACAATGTTCTCTACAGAAAATCCAGATGTAGCTGTCCTGAGTTGTTCGATGGAGTATTCACAGAATGCAGGCAAATCACCGACTTCACTTTTCTCCTCATTTTCTGCAAACAAATTAAAACCTTCAAAATCAAGTTTTCCATTACCCTGTGGGGAAAAAACGAGCAAGAAATTTGGCACACCATCATTATGCGCCTCGCGAACTGGTCCATTCTGGCCCGAGATAAAACAACACAAATTGAGTTTCGAACAACACTTGCAGCCCATCACACTATCACTGACTTCACTTTTCTCCTCATTCTCTGCAAACAAATTAAAACCTTCAAAATCAAGTTTTCCATTATCCTGAGGGGAAAAAACGAGCAAGAAATTTGGCACACCATCATTATGTGCCTCGCGAACTGGTCCATTCTGGCCCGAGATAAAACAACACAAAGTGAATTTCGAACACTTGCAGCCCATCACACTACCACCCCTCCGAAGACACGAACCCGCCCTCAAATTTCCAGAGCTGTCCAAAATACAATTTCACCGTTCACAAACTCTCCAGCCAGCTTCACACTCCAAATATGCAACACAAATAAGACAAGTGAGCTATAATGGTTATATTTTTCCTCAAAGTTTCGACTCTGAGACAGCAAGAAAATAAGAATGAAACCCACAAAATCTTTGAAAAAACAGCCGCACGATAAATCAAAGACAAAACTTCATATAATTTTATAATACTTTCAAACAGTGACATGTTAAGAGTTGCCAGTACGACAGTAATTAGATAGGGCATGCTTCTATGTCTAACTCTATGATATATGTATGACTTTTTATGTATTTTTCATGTGTCTGCGCGTTCACTTATATATATGTCAAATTGACCGGTGCTCTAAATTGATTGAATAGTTTAAATCTTTGCAAAAGCAAGCATGAGTTGGCATTTTTACAAAAATGTGCATACATAAGCTTTCAGCAGAAAACACAAATTATCCCAATTCAATGTCCCTAAGTTGCCATAAGAAATACAGAAAAATAGTTCAGATAGACTCCATTATATGAATACTGGTGGGCGCGTGTGCATCACATTTGCATTTTATGGTAATATACAGGAAGATAACTCAAATCTTCAGATAAATCACAGTGCAACATACGAAACTCAGAATGTACAAATTTAAGAAAGTTACCTTTAGCAGAGATTCAAATCTGGATCAATTCAAAGACATAAAATCCTCATTTTCTGAATCCCAGTGCTTTCAAATTTCTGCAGCACGTCTTGAAAAAGCTTCCTTTTCAAGCTGAGTCACTCGACTCAGTAATTCCCCTGACCCAGATAGACCCAACTAACGATTTCAGTCAATCAAAGTCGTAATTAGAACCCTGAATGCAAAAATCCAAATAGAACCATTTCACCAAAAAATCAAAGAGCTAAAAACCCATTTTGAAAAATGAAATAATCAAAACCCACTTTCCAAAAATGAGTGTTACAAATAGTACGGACAGAAAAAAGTAGCAAAAAGAAAGAACCTTTTTCTTTAAAAAAAAAAAAAGGTTGAACCTCTTGATTAAACTTGATTTGGTCAAAGCACAAAGTTAAAGTCTTTAATTATATATTTGGGTATCTCGTTTCTGTGACATACGAGGTTGCATGTACGAGAATGGTGGTTTATTAGAGAATCAAAAGAGAGAGGAGAAAGTGTCCGATATTAGATATATGTATAAGAAAAATTTTGTTTTAAGTACAGATATTTTTTTTCACATATTTTATATAGGGAGATAACTATCTTTCTTTATAAAATTTGTGAAAAAACTCTACATATGACAGAGTTCTATCATCTATGTATAAACAGGTATATATATATACACTGTGTGTTGTGTGTGTATTTATTTGTTCTTTTGAGTGTGTACTCGATGCTTATTTCTTCAATTTCCACCTACACTTTATTTATTTTAATTATTTTTTGTTTATTTTGATTAATTTATTATTATATGTTTTTGTGCTCCTAAGTACGTAAGCACTATATTTAACTGACATTCTCCTTTGTAAGAATTATCAATGTACAATGTTTGTAGCAATAGATTATAGATGTGTTTAAGCCCATGTTTAGCCTCCACTAAAGTGAATTCTATATTTTCAAAATTGAGTCAAGATAGCTAACATTTTCATCAACTATATTCACACCTGGTCAAATTGTGGATTAAATACTAATGTATTCTTTATCATAAACGTGGTCGATGTATTCCTTTCTTAAGGGGCGGCGTGGCTTTTGAAAATTTAAAGAGCTTTTGAGATCCAAATGTTACTTTTTGATTTGTTTTGATTAATTTTATAAAAGTAACTTCTTCCAAAGACCCTTCTACCAAAAACAAAAACTATATTCTTCATATTGTTCCAATTAAATAACTTGCAATGGAGTCGCGTATGTCTTTCTTTCAGCAAACAAATCCATTCCATCTTCGAAAGATAAACAACACTATACATGAACAAATATTCTTATATTTGTTTTTAGGATTAATAGCAAAAAACTCCCTAGAAACGTTTTCATTTGCGATATATTTCCCGTCTACTGAAGATCACATAAAATCCCCTATTTGAAACTTTTTCTGCAAAAAATTCCTCGCGGTCAAGATCTGTCATATTTGCTGTTAAAAACAGTAAAAAAAGTTAAAATTAAAAAGGAATAATTGCAATTTAGTACCCAAACTTTTTAATTTTTTTTTACTAATTAAATCCAATTTTTTTATGTGCTACTTATAATTCCAAATCTTTAAAACTTTATTTCTCATCTGAATTGTTTTATTTCATGGGTTTGAGAATTCTCATAAGTTTCGAGATACTAACAGATATTACCCAAACATCCATTCCTCAAATTTACAAGTTAGAGAAAACTCATTGAGAGAGTACAACAATGGCAGCATCAGCAGTAATCCCTCGTCCTTTCACAATTTCCTCTACTTCTTGTTCAAAGAGCAATTCTACTCTCCTTTCAAGAAATTTTATTATTTTATCACCAACAAATTCTATGTTAGGTTTTGTGACAAAAAATCTATGTGATTTAGAAATTTGTTGCATGACGGAAGCTTGTTTAATCTTGGTTTAGAAATCTTGGTTGATTGGATTCCATGTAATTTGGTTGATTGAAGGAAGTCTAAGCTACTTGAGTTTGTAGAGTCATATGTTGTAGAGATCAAATTTCAACAATAATTTAGAGTTTGACTTGAAAAATGACTATTAGATGGCAAAAAAGTATGTTATGGAATGTTAACTCGAAACCTTGCGCTTAGGCGTTACCATCGCTGCGCCTAGGCACCAAGAATTGAAGCAATAAGAAAAAGGAGGTAGACTTGGCGCTCAAGCGCGCTACAACAGTAACTGATCGCTATTTTTCCGTTTTATCCGGATTTTGGGACTTCTTTTCCATCTTGGACTCGACCTCAACCACAATTTCGAGATTTGGCTTCTATAAATACTTCACAAGGTATATGTACTTCAAAATAAAGAGGTGAAAAGGAAATACTCAAGAGAGATTATAACAATTGGATCATTGTTGTATACATTAGAAATAAGAGATAATTGTTTAAATTAGATTGAGAGGATCAAATGTTGTAAGACAATTGTTTGTTTCTTGGTATAATAAATTCTCATCTTCCACAAGTTTCTTGATTGTTTTGTGATCCATTAAATTTCATCGTGTCCATATTTTTTCACCTTTAATTATTTGACCAACTTCTCAACATGTGATATCAAAACGTTTTTGATATCGGGTTGACAAGTGGTATTAGAGTCAACAATTTTTGTTGTTTCTTGGGACGTCCAAATTGATTATTAAAGAGATGTTGAAACAATGTCGATTGTTCAAGGATGACAACTTTGAAATTTGAAAATTTTCTTTTGGATCACAATAGTAGATTTTCATTGTGGCAAATCAAGATGTGAGCGGTTCTTGCTCAATTGGATCTTGCTCAGTTGGGGATTGATAGAATGGCTGTTATAATGGCCGCGGAGGAGAAACAACGAAAGGATCGGAAAGCTCTATCTCAAATACATCTTTATCTTTCTAATGAAATTCTTCAGGACGTGGTAAAGGAGAAAAACGTCGATGTATTGTGGTTGAAGTTGAAGCAGCTTTGTATGACAAAGAGCTTGACAAGTAAGTTACATTTGAAGCAACGCTTGTATCCTCCTCGCTTGACGGAAGGTGGATCTTTGGAAACTCATCTATCGGTGTTCAGGAAATCGTCGCTGATTTGGAAACGATAGAGGTTAAATATGATGAAGAGGATTTATGGCTGATATTATTATGTTCGTTGTCGCCTTCATATATAACTTTTAAAGATATCATTCTCTATAGTCGGGATACTCTTACAATTGACGATGTATATGATGCGCTTTATTTTAAAGAGAAGATGAAGCATCTGGTCGTCGATTTTGAGGCTCATGGAGAGGGTCTTATTGTTCGTGAGAGGAAGGAATGTAGTCATGGAAGGGGCAGAGTCAAGGATAGCAACAACGGTATAGTCTGTTGATATTGCAACAACATGGGGTACACGAAGAGGGATTGCTATTAGTGGCGGAAGAGGTTTGCTACTACAAATTAGGATGAAAATTCCGGCAATGTTAGTCTTGCAGAAGAGAATGGTGATAGAGATTTTTGGAGATTATTGAAGGTGACTCCGAACCTAACAAAAATTGGATTCTTGATTCAGCTTGTACTTTTCATATGTGTTAAAACTGGAATTGATTTTTTTCATATGAAACAGTTACAAGGGTTCTGTGATGACGTCATGACGAGAAGCAATGAGCCTTATGGAATAGCTGGGATTGGTAACGTCAAAATCAAGATACTGAATGGGACGGTTGGAACATTTGGCCAGGTTCGACATGTTCCAGGTATAAACAGAAATTTGATATCTTTGAGTACTCTTGATTCAAAAGGGTACATGTATACTGATGGAGGTGGAGTTCTGAAAGTTAGTAAGGGTGCTCGAATTGTGTTAAGGGGGGTGGAGAAAGTCCCGATTATATGTGTTGGAAGGTTCGACGATCACGGAAGAAGCAGCTACAGCTTACGATTTAGTAAGCGGTAACTCGAGTGGAGTTGGTTGTGATCGGGTTGTTCGTAGTGATTTGGACGATAATGTTGGGAAACCTTTTACTAGCTCAGGTGGAGCTGGTTGTGATCTTGTCGATCATGTTGCTCATAGTGATTTGAGCAGGTTTGACAACTGAGGTGGAGTTGGGGTTGTTTGTAGTGGTTCAAGCAGGTTTATTGACTCGGATGGAGCTAGAAGTGAACGGGATGATTCAAGAAAGGATTGTGTGCAAGGTAGTCCTACTGGTATACAGGGTTTGCATGTAATTCACATTGCTGAGTATGCCCAGAAGGGGCATGACGTGCCCGACGAGGGTACGGGGTGTCCAATTGGGACATGGTGGAAGAGTTGGAGAATGACTTGAAGAGTGGAGATTTAATTCCTTGTTATGGAATTTGACAGTTACACCTCAAAACAATCCAAAACACTGTTTTTATCTATGTGATTTAAAAGTTTGTTGCATGAAGGAAGCTTGTTTAATCTTGGTTTCGAAATCTTGGTTGATTGGATTCCATGTGATTTAAGATTTGGTTGATTAGAGGAAGTCTAAGGCACTTGGGTTTGTGGAGTCTTGGATGGCAAAAAAATATGTTTTGGAATGTTAACCCAAGACTTAGCGCTTAGGCGCCAGAATTGAAGCGACAAGAAAAAGGAGGCAGGGACCGGGTACCCAAAAGCCAGGCACATAGCACTGCAACGGTAGCACCTAGGCACTGTAACTGTAAACTAATCACGATTTTTCCGTTTTATCCGGATTTTGAGACTTTTTCTCCATCTTGGACTTTACTTCATTCACAACTTCAAGATTTGGCTTCTATAAATATTCTAAAAGGTATATGTACTTCAAAAAAAAGGGTGAAAAGGAATGATTTAAAAGTTTGTTGCATGAAGGAAGCTTGTTTAATCTTGGTTTAGAAATCTTGGTTGATTGGATTCCATGTGATTTAAGATTTGGTTGATTAAAGGAAGTCTAAGGCACTTGGGTTTGTGGAGTCTTGGATGGCAAAAAAATATGTTTTGGAATGTTAACCCAAGACCTAGCGCTTAGGCGCCAGAATTGAAGCAACAAGAAAAAGGAGGCAGGGACCGGGCACCCAAAAGCCAGGCACATAGCGCTGCAACGGTAGCGCCTAGGCACTGTAACTGTAAACTAATCACGATTTTTCCGTTTTATCCGGATTTTGAGACTTTTTCTCCATCTTGGACTTTACTTCATTCACAACTTCGAGATTTGACTTCTATAAATACTCTAAAAGGTATATGCACTTCAAAAAAAAGGGTGAAAAGGAAAGACTCAAGAAAGATTATAACAATTGGATCGTTGTTGTATACATTAGAAACAAGAGAGAATTGTTTAGATTAGATTTAGAGGATCAACTCTTGTACGATAATTATTTGTTTCTTAGTATAATAAATTCACCTCTTCCACAATTTTCTTGATTGTTGTGTGATTCATTAAATTTCATATTGTCCATATTTTTTCGACTTTAATTATTTGGCCAATTTCTTAACAAGTGATATCAAAACGTTCTTGATATCGAGTTGGTTCATAACATTCTATAGTGGGATGTTCAAGATTGCATGCATAATCAAGAACCAAAAATCAACAAGCAAGAAGAATGCTAGTGGCAGGAGGCTACTGGTGAAATGTATGGCTTCATCATCTGTTCTTCCAAATGCCCTTTTGTGTGATTGTGATGGTGTGGTTGTTGAGACTGAGAAAGACGGACATTGCATTTCTTTTAATGACACCTTTGCTGAAGCACAAGTTAGAAATGGTGGGTTTCTCTGATTCGATAATTCCATTTCAATTTCTACACACCCACAGAGATTCAAGAGACAAAAGGAGTGAAAATTTATTGGTGGATTTCTCTGATTCAATGTTTTTGTGAAAATTTCTTGGTTTCTCTGATTCAATTTCTATTCCTCTTCTCTTCTCAGATGTCTTGGATTTTTGGTGGGTGACGTTTTGCGATTTAAGGGATGGTGCGCCCTAAATTGGTGGCGACGTCTGTGGTAATGTGTTGGTGATGTTGTTCCATCAGAATGTATCTCTACATGAGACTTGATGAAATGTGGTGGATGAAGATAATGGATGTCGCAGGAAGTGGTGTTCTCTATTTTTTGAAGGAGAGAACCTTCGTTTATTTTTTGGTATTTTTTTTTTTAAAATTTATTTTAGAGGAAGTTGATGAAGTGTGGTGAGGTGAAGTGTTCAAAACTTGGGATTGTATATGGAACATATAAATAATTTGGATTTGTAAAAAACTAAAAAAATTTGAGTACTTAATTACAATTATTCCTTTTTAATTTTGGAATTTTTTATTGTTTTAACGACAAATCTGATGGATCTTGACGATAATGAGTTTTCCATGAAAAGGTTTCAAATAGGGAATTTTTTGCCTTTTTCAATAGGTATGGATTATATCGTACATGTAAACGGTTATAGGGGGATTTTTGACTATTAATCCTCTGCTTTTACATGAACTTATAAGATGATTGAACTTCGAATACCTTTATGATAGCTTTAAATATATCAATTGTATTCCACATATTAAGGTCCCGTTCAACATAATTTTTACTTTTGCTTTTACTTTATGTAGAAGGATTTTTAAGAAAACTACATTCATATTTTTTGAAAATTAATTTTTAAAAGAATTTCCTATCTATTTTGGAAATACTTTTAAAATAAGTAACATTGAACTAGATTCCTCAAAAAACTCTTATAACTAGTATAAACACTTTCATAAAATTAGACAAACGGGTCCAAAAATAACTTTTGGATCTCAAAAACTTTTTTTGAGGTTTCAAAAATCATGTCACGGGTCTTAAGCATGATGTGAATAGCTAAATGGGTGAACATGGTTTCGAATGGGAGGTTTTTAACTATTTCCAAATCCACCATTTTAAACTATTTGAAAATTTTCAAAGCAAGTCGAACTATTTTTGTAGTTTGATTTGATTTGATTTCAAACCATGATTTTAACAGTATCAAAATAAGAAAATTCCATTTGTACAAATTATGGACGACAATGGAGGTTGACAACCTCTCACATGTGTGCGGACCCTACATGATTAAAAAATTTCAAAATAAAAAGTGGGCTCCCCTATTGTGAGTCTTGGTCATCCTTCATTGTACATGTAGCATAATTGATTTTTGTATATAACAAGTTATTTTTAGAAAAATTTGAAGAACAATTGGGTTTGATTTCAAAATGTTTTAAACTATTGAAATCTAGACCACACGAATCTTAAGAGAAATCAAACTTAGCCCATGTTTGACATGGGAAAATTAGGCTCACTACTCTAAAAAAATGTCAATTAGATTTATACCCTAAAAATAGTAAAACATCTCTGGATCTTATTTAATACGTTTATAAAACCCCAACCTGATAAAGCTAGTTTCTCCACCATCTCTACTTCAATCCATAAATTTTCTTCGGTCTCTATTTTCCTAGACCACAAGCAATAACATTTAGCAAACCCACATATTCTATACCCTTAAACCCCAAAATCACCACACTCTCTGCTATCATTAAAAAGTCCTCGAATCTCCCATCCACCAGCTTTGATGCTTGTTTGGCATAGCACCTCGGCTTTCCTCGATTGTCTCATCGGACATTGGATAGAAGTAAAGATGTAGTAGTAAATCGCTTGGGTTTGTGCTTAGGCTTAGGCCTTCTGGTAGTAGTAGGTGATGGGGACGGAGAAAGAGGAGGGACAACGGTTGTGTCCGCAGCGTGGAGAAGCGACGATGACGAGATTTGGGGGGATGACGATGAAGGAGATGAGGATCGTTAATGGATATCTTATTCCCTAACCAATTGTTTCCAATTGGGAATTGCAAAAGCAATTTTCTAACTTATTAGTGGTTTTGTCTGAGTGCATTCTAAATTTTCTTCTACTCTTTACTAGAAATAAGAGTATCCCTTTTATGATATTTTAATGAACAAAATGTTTATTATTGACTCGTTCCTACAATATTTGTTCTGTAATATGAAGGTTGGTAGTTGCAGTTGCTGCAACCATAATCTCGAGTAGCGGCAGAAACTTTCGACTTATTGCCACTTCTATAAAAATGTTTGAGTTCGTTTTGACTAATTTATCACTATTAATCTATCATCACATGAGTATAGAACCCACAAACGAACTAATTGATGACTAAATTGTGTTGCGTTAATGACACTGTATGAATTAAGCTTTTGGTTAATTTTGCGTAATCATCCAAACTATCACTCGTTCCCCAGCATAATTACAAACCAGATACAAGCTTAGAGTGCTTTCATCTTGAGGATGGAATTGATGAAGAAGAGGAGATCGAAGAAGAGGATGATATTGAGAGTCAGCACAACGTTCTTGTAAGGAAAAATCCGACTCCAATTGTTACAGAATGAGGAAACCCGTGAATTTCGTTAAAAGATTGTGACCTTTTTTTTTTAATTTGTGTCACTTTTTTTCGTCACTTCTTTGAGTTTCTCACTTTTTTTTTTGAATTTTGTCACTTTCTGAGTGTCACTTTTTTTATTGTATGTCACTTTTTAATCTGTATAACTTGTTTTAATTTATGCCACTTTTTTGAATTCGTCACTTTTTTAAAATTTATCACTTTTTTGAATTTTGTTACTTTTTTTTTTTAGTTTTTTGTCACCTTTTAAGTTTTTATCACTTTTNAAAATTTTTCACTTTTTTTGAATTTTGTCACTTTTTTTTTAGTTTTTTGTCACCTTTTAAGTTTTTGTCACTTTTTAAGAAGATAAAAAAATGAAATAATATGTTATATTTTCCTAACATAATCAGCATGTGGATTAGCATGAACGTTATAATTATTTTAAGAACATGATTACTGGTGCTGCTCAAATGGATGGTGTTATTTTGATATTTGTAACCTTTTTTAAATTGTCACTTTTTTTGAGTTTGTGTCACTTTTTTTATTTTTCAAAAAAGTGACAATTTTTATAAAAAAAAAAGTGACATTGTGTCACTTTTTCATTTTATACAATATTTTTTACTTCCTAAAAACTTTTCATATGATTTTTCAAAACATCCCTAATTTTAAGGGTATTTTTGTAAGTACCCCATTTTTTTTTCTTTTACTAAGCGGGACACCCAAACCGACCCAGCTGAAAAATCACAAAAAAACCGACCATGTGTGTTTTATCACTTTTTTTTAGTTTGTGTCACTTTTTTTTTAAAAAATAAAAAAGTGACAATTTTTATAAAAAAAAGTGACATTGTGTCACTTTTTCATTTTACACAGTATTTTTTACTTCCTAAAAACTTTTCATATGATTTTGCAAAACATCCCTAATTTTAAGGGTATTTTTGTAAGTACCTGACATTCATTATTCGAAAAAAAAAATTTCTGCATACTTATTTTCAACCATACATTCACATAAAAATATATTCTATACGTAAATTCAAACATGTTTTTTACATTTTAATTACACATGCTCCTAAAATTTATTATCAAAAATATTGTCTTTCCCGTATAATGACCATCAAACCGGTCTTAAAAAACTCACCCTTTCCAACATTTTATGTGGTTTGAATACTGTTGGCATGTTGCTGTCAAATTTTTTTCAGTTTATTTTCTAATGAACCATGCTTGATGTACATCATAGACGACAACCCCCTCACATAGGGGCGGGTCCCACACGGGCTCCACCCATGTGAGAGGCTGTCAAACTAAATGTACACCAAGAGGTATTCATTTAGCATTATCCATTTTTTAATAGTATAATTGATTCATGAAAATTTGTATTTTCTCTGCCTCATTCATTTTCACACAGTCATGATCAATATTTAATACGAAAAACAACGTACGCGTCTCAAGTTACGAGTTCTTCGTTACTTTTTTAAATTACTGAGTATTGCAAGCGCCGTGTCGAAGTCTTCATCCGTGAGGACCTAAAGACATTCGATGCAGAGTTTGTGAAAGTCGATCAGTTGGTTGCGAACATCAAGAGCTTGCTGGAACTTACATGTCAAACAATGGCGGACATGATTAAGGGGAAGACTCAAGAAGATATTCGGCATTAAGAATGAATTCACACCAAAGGAGGAAGAGCAAATTCGAAAGGAGAATGCATGAGCATTCGGGAAATGATATGCATATATTAATTTTCTTAGGAATTCAATAATTTTGGTTTAAAATTTGTTATTACTTAATTATTTTTAGGAATTCAATATTTTGATTCTGCCTAATTACAATTTCAATGTTTCTATATCAATGAACTTTTTTCCAGTGCTTTATGAATTTTGCATAAACTGTTTATTTAAATTAAATTTAGATTATTGATTTTAAATATAATATTCTAGAATAATAAATATGAAATTGATAATTCACCTTGTCCCAATCCATTAAGAATTGTCATTTTCACAACCAAAGGGTTCATAAAAAAAGTATTTAATTAACTTTTTCAGTGTTTATATTCATAAGGTTATCATATGTTTTGTTAAAACTGTTAGATCAATAAAAAAAAAAATTAATTCATGTTTAATAAAACTTTGTCAAAATTTGAACCTAGTTTTGAATCCAACTTTGTAGTAAACAAAATCTTTATCAAACAAGCAATTAGATTGACGGTAAATCTCCATCTTTCTCAAAATAAGTAATTTATAATGTTATGGATTCACGTTCAACGCAAAAAATTACTTCTAAACGCACAAACAAGCTCGTTTAAAAGAAAATTTCGAGACCATTTAAAATAAAAGTTTTGTATAACGACCGGATTATAAGTTTCGAAAACACGCCAGTGATATTTGAAGTGCATGCATGGCATCAAAGCAAGAAATATGGAAAAACCCAAACACCTCGATCGTGCCAAAAACCAAAACTTCTGTTTTCTACTACAAAACATAAGAGGGTTTTCAGCAATGGAGTGATTTAGTAATGATAATTAACTCTTTAGTGCTCATTTACTTTAATGGAATAGGAAATAAAAAAGTCACATATGAGGTTGATGATATGTTTTACTTCTGGGGTTAAAATTTTGTTACCTCATATAACCTCATATAAGCCATAAACTTTTTGAGATGGTTTACAAAAAAATTCTGCCTGGCCCATGGCCTCCTAAAAATTTGGTCAATTTCTGCAGTGATCTCATGTTTTTAAATGATGGGAAATGGTGAAATGTAACTTATATGACTTGAAAGCAGTAAAACACTGTGTAATACTATAATCTCTTTATCTGTTGGATTTTATGCACATAGTCGGAATATATATTAATCTTTGTTAGGGACCACCTTGTAGCTTTTGTTAATTATTAGGGACTATAGTGCAATTTCCCTTTCCTTTCCTTTTTCATCCTGAATATACTTGTACTTGTATTTTTCAACCAAATCAATACACAAAAAGGTTTCCCTCCTAACTACATGGTATCAGAGCAAAAACCGTAACCCTAGGTCAGTCCCGACTTACCTTCCGGCGACGGCGACGGTTCCCTGTTTTTCTGTTTTTCGCGACTGACTTAGCTGCAGCCGCGATTCTTCCCTGTTCGCGACCAAGCTTTCCTGCCCACACAGTTCCGGCGCCTTCCCTTGCTGTTCCGACGCCATTCTTCGACTGCCCAAACGCGCACTGCTCCGGCGCTGGTGTCGCCTGAGAGATCCTCCCGTGCTGCTTCCTCGCGGTTCCTGTGCTGCCGGATTCTGCTGCCCGATTTTGTGGCTGTTTTTTGGTAGTAGTGAGAAAATCACCTTACCAGGGAAAAGCTGGCCGCTACAGTTCTCTTGCTTCGTGCTTCCTATGTAGTATTTTCTTCCTCTCTCTCTTGCAACCGTTTTTTGGAGTGTTTGTGGTTGTGGGTTTGTTTGATTGTGGTTTATGAGGTTAAGATTAAGGGATTGGAGTAAACTTGTCATATGCTGGATGATTAAACTGAGCCCCAAACATTGTAGTTGCCAAACACATTGTTTTTGAATATTCTAACGCTTCTTGGTGGTGGTGTTGGCCTGGGTTGTTATTTTATCAGTCACTTGAAGTTGTTTCTGGCTTCATTGGTTGAAGATTGGATTTGAATTGTTTGTATTTGGTGATTCTCGTGCTCTCCAGTTGGTGGTTTGCATTTGGTGCTATTCTTGTCAAATGGCTTCTCACGTTGCTAGTTCATTTCCTGGGGAAAGTATCTTTGGGTTGCACTCTACTTCTACTGCATCTGATTGTTGGGTTATTGATTCTGGAGCTACCGATCATTTCACCTGTAATTCCTCCACATTTGATTCATTGACAACTCCGCCCGTTCAGTCTGTTCAAGTGGCTAATGGAACCCCCGTTAAAGTCACCGGGGCCGGAAACGTCTCGTTTTCACCCTCTTTCTCTCTCTCATCTGTTTTACTTGCACCCACTTTTTCCACTAATCTCTTATTTATTAGTAAGATTACAAAACATCTTG